TGTTAATCAAATCTCTAATTTAGATAGATTCTCTCACTTCTTTCTTCCTGTAGTGAATTTTCTAGAACATTATATAAATCAAAAATGTTAAAGTTATGATTTTTTTTCTAGATTGTTACAAATCATTGTTTAAACTATCAGATAAAAATTTTTTTCATACACCAACATCGATTTAGTGTCATCATTGCCATTTGATGTCATTAAATAAAAATTAAGATCAAATGGCAATATAGAATCGATAAAAGATATTGTACGTTCTCTCAAAGATGACAAGCATGATGCACAAGAACAAGTATTAAAAACACAAAAATTGATTAGTTTACAAAAAATAGACGCAAATATTAGTAAGAGTAGAGAATAACAATTTTTGTCGCTGTAGTTTTTCTTTATTTAACTCTTTGGTTACGGATCACACATATATGCGTGTTGAACTTTTCCTTGGACTACTTCTGTTACAGTTATGATTTTACTGCTTTAGCTGAGTGCAGAATAGCATGGCTTTTTATACTCTATCTTGTACGACAATTCCTCTACATATCTTTGTTTTGATCTGCCCTACAGAAGTCGTACTTCGCGGCATAATCAAAACCTGTCAGTCCTCAAGAGAGAGTGATACAATGCAGAGTGCTATTAAGGAAAAATACTTTATGCATAAGTCAGAAGAAATTTGCTCATGAGGCATAACACGGCACTCCTGAGACATCACCTAAAATGCTATCGCAGCAAGTACGCTAATTGTGGTACCCTAACTCTACCCTGATTGTATTCATGACCATTACCGGCTAATGCTGAAAGGAGAGCTATCTTGTAGAATTCTACCACTTATTCAGATTATAAAAGTGCTCTGGGACTACCAGAATCACAGCATCATTATATAGTCTTACCATACATGGACATATCCTATTTTAAGCATTTTTCATAAAAATCAAAAATTTCCTGTTCCTTAAAAAATCCCTTAACCAAAGGGTTAATTTGAAATAAGTAGACATACTTTGAACTTATAAAAATTCCTTATGTGAACCATAAAATTTCTGGCACTAAATGTCCAGATACATTTTTCTCACTATTAAATATAAGTTAAACGGCAGAAGTTTAACTGAAGATGTAGAAAGCCCTGATTATTAGTATGAAGGATGTAATTGCTTGAGGCAAAGATAAATAAACATATTGAGAGAGTTGAAAAATCGACTTTTTTGCGCCAGATGGATCGAGCTGAAATTGCAGGATATGAATTATGACTAATACTTACACATCTTGTGAAAGTATTAGTCATAATTCATATCCTACAATTTCAGCTCGATCCGTCTGGCGCAAAAAAGTCGATTTTTCAACTCTCTCAATATGAAAGGGATCATAAAAGACCATATATCAAACTAAAGATATTGAATACGAGCACCCAAGATCTTATAGATCTGTATGCAAGATCTTACAGATCTGACTCTAAGATCTTACGAATCTGTACTCAAGATCTTATTACAGATCTTGATACTAGATAATATCATTATCTTGTACTTAATTTTTCAAGATCTGTTAACATTTCTCTACCTTGTATCTTGGCCAAGATCTTGCTTACAAGATGTTCAACTAGGGTAGGCGTCGCTCATATCCACATCCTCGACAGTAATAAGCTATTAGTCTGCAGTTTTTTCCAACCATTCATAACTCATTAAGATGTACCTGATGCATATAGTCTATCCTCGGAAGTAATTTAACACTTAGAAATGTTTCCTCCTTAAACGTTTCTGTTCCCTAGACTGAAAGGCTAGGGTCTAGAAACCTAAATTTTCTGTGTTTGAATCGGTGACGTCTGTGTTTGCATCGGTGAAATCTGTGTTTGCATCGGTGACATCTGTGTTTGCATCAGTGACGTCTGTGTTTGGATCGGTGACGTCTTTGTTTGAATCGGTCGCAGAGGTTGTTTGTGCATTTTGATCTGGTCTTCGAGGTAAATTTTGCCTTTTGGTGGATTTTCTAGCTACATGCTCGATTCTATTGTTTGCCATTTTTTCTAGTTAATTTTCAAAATATCGTAAGCTTTTTCTGTCTTTTAAATATCAGTCTTCCCTGATCTGATTTCAGTTTTCGTGTTTTATCGCGCTTTTTTCTTAATTTCACTTTCGAGTATCTCATCATAAATAGTTTAGTTTTCTTTGAGTTTGTTTACTTGAATACAATATTGTGGCGAAATAACGGTGCCAACTCGTCGCCCACCGATCTTAATTCTTCCAGTAACATTCACGATTATATGAAAATGGATATCCGCTTGTCGAATTCTACCAACCGAATGCGAGCTTTTCGTGCCTGTCGTGCTCTCGTTGAGACTGCTGAACAAAAAGAGAGTCGCCTGGCTATTGACAGACAATACAGAAAACAGCGATTGATCGATTTTGGTGTCAAAAAAACAGTCGAAGAGAAGCAAACGCATCTTATATCACGTAGCCAATACGAAGTGAAACGTCTAGCCGATAAACGTGCAAAAGAAAACGCAAAGGAGAGAGAAGAACGTCTTACAGCCAAACGTGCTAAAATGAACCGCCGACACAACTTACGAGCGCGCGAGACTGATGCGGAGCGAAATACTAGATTAGAACGTGATCGTGATCAACATCAGTAAGACTCATAGTTTCTTTGTTTTTTCTACCAAACATTCCTTTCTTTTCGACTCATAGGGCGAAAACACGTGCGAAAAATGATTCAAATATGGCAACTGACCGAAATTGCGCTGTATGCGGCTATAAAATCCTGACTCAAAATTGGTCACAATTAACTATCAGATCGTTTCCGAACCTGCATCTTCTTCGACCTCAGAGCGACGAGATATCGAATTCTGTTTTGAAAATTAATTTTTCACGATTTACCAGTAAGGATCTTTATTGATCGGAAATTATCATTTTGAAGCGTTTTCTAACTCAAAATAGGCTATGTTCGACGAATGTTAGAAACTTTCTCTGGTTTCGATGTTCTCGTGAATGGAGCACTGTTAGGACGATGCGGGATCGGTACGAACACTGGATTGATAGTTGTGTGCCGTGGTTGCCAGACCTCTTTACAAAACAATGCTACGCCTGCGTCGGCTTTGAGCCGCCTATACTCTCCAGATGATGTTTTGGATGAAGAATAACTTTTGTACCGTGTATAAAATTGACGTTGGTTAATGTTTTTAACCTGTTCTAACATTAAGACGAAACATCTCCGTATTTAAATCTAAATTCCTTTTCAGTTGGTCACTTAATAATATCCTAACTATGAACGGTAGAAAGACTTCATGGTTTCCATGAATGCCATCAGTGCTCAAAAACCGAGCTACGAAAGCTTAGTAATTAGTTCTTTTTAAATTTCTTGTTTCAAAATCTCCAGTTCTTTGGTCATTCAAATATATTCAACACTCAACAGTCTACGGTAAAGTGAATCTGCATTCGATGAATATTATTTCTTTTTTTTACAACTTTTAGATATTTATGTTTCTGTTCTTTGTAGTTCTGACTTCTTAACTTTAAATTGCTTTTATTTTGAATTGATTTCTAATTATGAAGTTTAAAAACACTCGGCTTTTCTCTTGTAGCACATCTTTGGATTTCAGCGAGAGATATACCCTTTGATAGTCTCATTTACATATCTAGTCACATCACATTTCATCGCCTTTTAGTCTAGGGATGAGTGAATCGGAATCCGATGAACGTTACTTGTCTTATTATTGAACAGAATTTTTATTGTCAAACAATAGAAAACATGTCTTCAATAGTAAACAATCTTTTAAGCTTCGACGCAACGAAGTAACGAGAAAGTTACACAGAAATTCCCCGTCTTTATTGCACAAAATCAAGAAAGTCTGATTGAATACAAAAATAGAACTATTGTATATATTTCCTTTTGAAGCATATTTTTTGATTGGATTTAATAATTTTCAAGAAATTTTGGGTGTATACATATGCAGAGAACGGAATAAGAGCATAGAATACGGATCGCTCGTTTTATGTAACTCATGGGAAAACAAGATTATGTTTATTTTAGAATAAGGATAAAACAGAAGTCCCACAAAATATCAATTAGAGTTTTCGTGCATATTTTTGAAAATATGATATTGTATAATAAAGAAACCGTTGTTTACAAATGTAATAGATAGGCCATTTGAGCAAAGCAGAAAAACCTTCGAGAAGCAGAAGAGGTGACAACATTGGAATGAATCAAGCGCGACATCACTAGTGTCAAAATGATCCGTGACTCAGGTCCAAGTGAGTTCACCTGATCTCAACCGAAAAGGCCAAGAAGCGATAATCATACACATAAACCAAAGATTCTTTCATTCACATTGTCTACATACATTTCATGCTTGCATCAAATGGAAAACAACATCGTTTTTTCCTAATATCATTAGCACTATTCAATATAATTCATAGCGAATAGATGGCTAATGCCTTCACAGATATACACTTTTACCACTAGTGTTTATTAACCACTACCAAGACAATTATTTCATTAAATTTTTTGTTTATCCTAACTAGTACCAAGTGTCGAAAAGCTCTCAGATAGCTTGCGAGGTTGTTCCTTTCTTTCTGTTTATACCAAGATTTTGTTCTAGTAAATCAGTGTTGTTTCTAGTTCCATAAATTTTCTCCATTGCCACATGTGCTTAATCAAAACTTTTTTTTCCCTATAAATAAAACATGCCCCAAATTCCATACGCTAAAATGTTTTGAGTATGTTTTTTTTTCTTAAATAATTTTTGTATCTTTTCATTCAACAAAATAAATCAAATAAAACACTAAAAATTTATATTTATCAATTAGAAACGAAACAAATAATCATAGATAAAAATGAAAAACACAATGTAGAGAAAAATAGATGATAGAGATTATTGTTTATTATCATCTGATATGTTGATATTGACCGATCAATAGTTTTTCATCTATAGTTTTTTCACAACTTCATTTTGTCAATGCTGTTGTTCTTAATAAAACAATGGTCTTTTTATATTGATGATCATTGATCTTTAATTTTTTTTATTCATTCGATTCGCTTGTGGGAGGTATCGGAGGAAATTTTTGATTAACTAATTTATCTAAATCTTTATATGAAGTCGCTAATACTGAACATATTGGTTTTTGAACAATTACACCATGAGTATTTATTGTAAATATATGAGTCTCTGGTATTTCAACAGCGTCATACGATAATTCATCACTCTTTCGATTACCAAAACCAGCACAAAATGAATTTTTATTGGGAAATAAACTTCTAATATGTTTTAAAAATTCAATTTTAAAATCTTCAGGTCTTCTTATGATAACTTCTCTATAAAGTGCATTAAATAATCCATCAGGTGAAATAAGTAATGGACCACTTGGTAATGTAAAACCATCTTGTTTAATACTTCACAAAAAATTTCTTGTTACTTAACTTTGTCCAATAGCACGGGCAGATAAATAAATAAATTTATAATTATTGTTTTTAATACTTTGAAACAATTTTGCAACGCCATCATATGACCAATCTTTACCAAAAAGTGGAAATATATGTCCAAACAGATCAGATTTTGTGATAGTACCATCAATATCTGATATAACAAATTTTGTTTTATGATCAAAACAAAATATATTTGCTTTAACTACAGCTGTACCTTGAAAAGCTGTTGTAACACTAAATTCAACTTCACTAATACCATTTTTAAGATTAAATCGTTTTAATTAATCAGATGTAGGCATTATGGATCTTTTTTATGATGAAGTATGGGTTTGATTCGAGTTTGGAGATAAACAAAGTGAATGATCGTTACATTTAGGGAAGATGGGAAAGTACCTGATCACCTTTTTTTGCTCATTTCGGGATTCTTCCTCTATCTCTATGTGATCAATTGATTTTCGAACGAAACCTTTATTATTTGGTATATCATCAAGATTAATTTCTTCTTTAGATGCACTTTGTTTTGATGATACTGGCCATGAATATCTAAACATTTTTGTAGTGCTTCAAGAAGATTAGTCCATGCCCGTAGCCATTCAGAACTGGTTTGATTGGGGTGTGGGTGTGGGGTGCCAGTATGGCTCTTCTCTGTATCTACACTCACACTCACACTCGTCTCTGCTGCTCCATTTTGGCGTAAAGATGGGCAAGTTCTTTTGAGTATGTAATTATTGTCACGTGAAGACGAAAGAATGAAGTTCGTCTTGTTCTATGCAAAGATTGTACACAGAACGAACGAATTCGATTTACGCACATAGCAATTCAATTCGAAAGATGGGACATCATCAAAAAATATATTCCTTTTCATGTGTTGTTGTTTTTATACACAACTTCAACCAATCAGGAATTTCAATTAGGTCCATGAGATTATTTATTCGAACCAACGATTGGATATAATAAAATAGGTTATGGATTTTTCATTGTAAAAGTTTCATTCTTGTAAATATGTGTTTGGAAGTACGTAAGAAAAGAAAAAGCTATCTTATGTCACTTCTTTTTTAACATGCTCGTCACATTTAGGCGTAGTGCTGATTACGCGCCGTAGTTGCACATAACTGCAACTTAGTAACCGTAGTTGAAGCGAGTCAGAGCGGCAACTTTCATTTCAACACAACTGCGTTCTTATCTACGGCGAGTCATCCCATCTCGTGCTGAAATCTTGAGATATACAAGGAGGCGTAACAAATATTTGATCTTATTTTATTTTTTAACAGTTTGCAAGACACTTTATTTTTTTTCAAACTACGAAGGTACGTAAGCTTCAAGGTTTTTCCCAAGTATACGAATATTCGTGACTTAAATGCTTAAGTCTTCTTAACATTATTCATGTGTTCGTTTGTACTCAAAGAGTATTGACCGATGGTTGTGCCCAATGAGGCTTTTTTTATTTTCACGGGTTTTATTGGTCAGTCAGCGTTTGTCCAGTAGTGTAGAATTTGAAACCTGAATTCAACGAAGATTGTAACTTTCAAGCTTTTGTGTGTGCTTGAGCTAGTTTTTCTTTGTCGCCATCATAATAGAGAGATGCAGCGTGAGTCATTTCATGCATCTACACTGACCTAGATATAATAAGTATGTCATCTGATTTCTTGGAAGTTGAAGTGTGATAGATGACATTTGAAATTTCAATTGAATTCATGTTTCCAGTTTAATATATATGTTCAACTCTAGGTAAAATTAAACAGAATTATTAAAATGCTCTAAATTTCACAGAAGTTGCAAAAGAAGAATAAATCAATTGATTCCTACACATTTTAATTAAGCTATATTCAACTTAAACTGAAATTTTGTTTAGTTTAGGAAGCTGTTGGGTTCGCAACTTTTGTCTATTTAAATTTAATTGATTTTAGGAGTTTTCAGAATTCGTCAGTATATTCTGTTGAAATCTTGTTGAATTTTGAAAGGTGAAAAATTTGAAATATTAGGTCATGTATATTTTTCGAACAGTAGCCAGTTTCGTTGTTCAATGATGTTACTGATATATTTTTTTTCGCTCTTTTAATAATTTATTGTCGTAGAGTATTTTGTATCAACTATTTGTCTTAATTCTAACCTTCAGTAACAGCATTTGTCTAATTACAGAAAGCTCGATAAAGAGATTTGTGTGAACTTTGTCTTTCTTATAATTCCATGTAAAATTCTAACAGTACAAGCGGCGATCAATATCGATCTTTCGCAAAATCATTTATGTACGACCACTGTAAGAACAACCGATATTGATTTTTATGATATTTTCTTGCTCGATATGAAAGACAAAACTGTACAAAGATGTTTTTAAAAGATCCTGATTAAACATCTTCTACTTCATCCATAAACTATCTAGGCATTTATTGTATCATGAATCAACCGTTTCAACATGAGTACGTTTTATACACCCTATATTGCTTCATATGTTAACACCAGTCAATCAAGTTTTTGCATCATATAGTAAAAGTTTCAAGTCATTATGTTGCACAACAACTAAATGTGCGACACCAAGATATAAAATGTGAATTGAAATCTGTTCAACACCTATTCTTAAGACTATGAAGAATAATCTTTTCATTCATAACTTGCGTGATACCTGTCTTTTCTCTAAATTTGATTTGTAAAGATTTAGAATGTTGACTTGCTTTATCATAAAACTGTTTCGAGATTCAGCTTCTGATGTTGAATAAGAAGTCACTACTCCACTTATGATACGATTAAATATGTGAAAAGGAATGTTCTGTTTTTTTCCGTTAGAACTCAGTAGAATATACCGAAGATACCTTCGACATAGTTACTTAAAAGTGCAATTTGTTTATCGTAACTGCATGTAACTAAATCGCAGTTACGACATAACTGTGTTGCAATTTGATAGCCACTGAATACATGGAATATTAATTGAAACATTCTGATGTGTTCTTTTTCACGCAAAATAATAAATGATTTTTTATAGACAAACGAATAAGAATTTTACTCGACAATAAAAAAAAATGAATAAGTTCACGATTCAATATTTGTGCTTGCTTGATTCATTCAAAAATAATTATGTAAAAAGAAACCGAGGTAGCTAACTAATAAAAAAGTTTTGATTTATGCATGTAACAATCGCTCATTGTAACACTATTTCAAGGTTCTAGTTTTAAATAAACAGTCTTTTAAGACTTTTACACTAACCTGCCATTTTTTTCCTTCCTGAAAAATCAGTATTAGCCTGAAAAGCGGTGCAAATCTGTAGATTCATATCAGATGGCAACATAATAATTGTCGTTACCTCTTGAGGCTACGTCAGCCTCTACAATAGGTTCATGATTTGAGACGATCGATGCTTTGTCAATGCTAACTTATGTTATAACTATTCAGATCTATTTGTTTTCTAGTTGATTTAATTCGTGTATGAGAAATCATGCTAAACAATTACAGTGAATCCGATTCAGATAGGGAATACGAAGCTACATATAGACATAGAATATCTGAACGAAAAACAAAATTATATGTTAAAAACTTTGATAGCGAAATGAATGAAGAAAATTTATTTAAACTCTTCTCTAAATACGGTACAATTACTGATTGTAAAGTAAGTGAACCATGAAGCGAAACCTTATTATTTCATTGTCCTCTTGTCTTATTTGAATTAAGATTACGAAAGATCAACATAATCGATCAAAAGGATTGGGCTTCGTCAGTTTTTCACAACCATTCATGGCGGAAAATGTGAATATTCTTTCTTTTTATTATATCTTTCGAGATTTTAAAAGTTATTCATATTACAGGCTGTTGCAAATCTCAACGATTTAAAGTTAGATAATGGGCAAAAATGATGTGTTTGTTTTTTTCAAAACAAACAAAATTATCATAAAAAACAAAGAAAAGCATATATTAAATCATGTGCAGATCGAAATATATATATGAAAAATTTGGACGAAAATATTGATGATCCCAAACTAAACCAAGCAGTTATTACATATAGTAGAGTTAGAAGTGCAACGGTAAATGGTGAAATATAATTTGAGCATAGCTAATCGGCTCTTATCTTAGGTTACGACGAAAAAAGATCAGACACAAGATTATGGAGTTGTATCTCCTAGTACAGTTGGTCCAGTAAACGAAGCTATAGATGGTAGTGAATGAGAAAGAACTCGGTTCAAAACCAATCTATATGACGACGAACAAAATTTCAAAGAAAAGTCAAGTGTCTTCATTTCATCGGTATGCACATATGAGTGAGTATTTCTGTACTGATGTTTTGTTTGAGTTGAATACACTGATACAACTCATTTTCAAATGTTGTATGCGATTATATTTACAGCTCCATCGACACGAAGTCGACGATCATCATCTGCATCAAGTAGTTTATCTCGACTATCAACTAGAATACAATCGTTGTTCAAAGATGATCTGTCTCGATATGAAACTAAGCAAAACTCAAATGTTAACCGTCAACGTTCTTCATCAAATTGTCTTAGTGTAGAATCGGGTCAAGAAATGAATCATCAGAAAAATACTACATCGAATGATGGAAATGAAGAAAACGAATCTGAAATTTGAAAATGCAGCATCCGCTGGATAAGTTTGGAACTCTGCCGCCCTCTTATGTTTCATTTTGAATAGGCTAAAAAGAAATGTTTCAAAGACTAAATAGTCGTGAAGGTAGATGACTTTTGGGTATTTTAGTAAATAATTATGATAGGCATAAGTTTTTCTTTGAATAACTCAGTATGAAAATTGATAGTGTAGATCGATGCATTTTTATGCTGTACAAAATGGTGTATTGCTCATGTTTGCTGATATCTTCTCTCTGAGATTATGCAGGGTCAAGCAAGTACGATCTGTACTATTCTCAAACTACACAAACTCCTTTGTAGAGTCCTAATGTCTATTAAAATCAAGTTCGACAGAAAGATTTTTATGATCAAAAACTTCTCGGACTCACTCTCTATCGCTCCATATGGTTTTCAGAAAAATCTAAACAGTACCAAGGTTCATTTTAATCGAAATATTGTAAGGAAGTGATCAGATCGAGACTATTTTACAATCAATGCCTACCTTGAATCTTAACCTCATTACCGCCTCAGACCAAGATAAATACCGTATTCGAAAGCAGCACTAAACACAATGTTATATCATATAAATATCAGTACAGGTATGGTTTCTCTCAACAATTTTCTATTTTAAGTTTCATTCGTGATCCTTCGCGAGTAATTTGACGAAAAAAATTATTTGTGCTGGAATATATATCATATAACGTAGTGTTGAGTGATAAATCTGAATATGGTATTTACTTTGATTGGAGCTGTTTAGATTTTTCTGATAATCACATGAATTGATAGAGCATGAGCCCGAGTAGTTTTGATCATAAAGATCTTTCTGTCTAACTTGATTTTTAAAGGCATTAGGATTCTACAAAGGTGTTTATGCATTATGAGAATAATATATATCGTACCTGCTTGAACCTGCATAATCTCAGAAGATAGTTATTGATCAACATGATCAATATACCATCTAATAGAGCATAGAACAACTGTATCTATCTTTACTATCAGTTTTCATACTAGGTTTAGAAAAGAAAAAGTTATGCCCATCATAATTATTTACTAGGATATCCAAAAGTCATCTACTCACAAGATCATCATCTCTCTAGCCTATTCAAAGTGAAATATGACGGGTTGGCAGATTTCTGATCTTAGCTGACGGAACCTTATGTATTGATGAAGGATTCTACTGCAGCTATTCTAAATTTGTATTTTATAAATAAAAATTAAAAATAAAATGCTAAGTATCGTCAAATGAAAAGAAATCGTGGCTAGGGGTTATAAGATGATCCTAACGGAAACATTCGGAAAGCCTATTGAACTTGAAAACAGTGCTCTTATCCAGAATATTATCAGATTCTTTACATGATTTCGGAGCAATTCTCACTTCTTTCGGCAGAAAACGATTGAAAGTCAATAATAAAATTTTGAAACATCTCAGCATTCCAGGTTTCATCAGTTTGCTCTGTTTTTCCGCTTGATATCTCAATTGACTGGCATCTTTCCATGATCATCGAGGGGCGGAGTCAAATTTTCTTCATTCTATAATTGGTAAAACCAATCGAGAAGCAGATCTAACGCCACCCTACCATGATGAAACAGATATAGCACTAATAATTAGCCGTAAATGTTTTCCGCCTTTATTATCTATACAATTGCTCTGCAAAAACAGTTACAGAGTAAGGTTTTAATACATCACTGAGTCAGTAACATCTTTTTGTTGCCTGACTTCTAGTCCATGTCAACGTAGTAGACTAGAAAGTAAACAAATGACTGCTATATAAAAGGTGTGGATGTGTCGGATTGAGTGTGACTGTGACTGTAGATGAATACATAACTAATATTAACATACATACCACGTCCATCCGCACCCATTTTCTACTTACGCGTACTGTTGATAACAGTTGAATTTGTCTCAATTCTATGAAGCAAAGCAAGTTTTAACCACAAACATAATTGAAGCACTTACGAAGCCTTTATTTTTCATGACACAACAGAGTTAGCTTCAGAAACATTTTGGAGTCTATGGAATTAGGAAAAAATTACTTTTTATAAAAGAAAAACATGTCATCCCATAGATGCAAACGCAAGAAACAAGTTTTCATGACTAGAATGTTTTGAAAAGGCTTTGTAAGAGTAGGAAACTCAGGAAGAACTACTTTTGCCGCTGACATAAAAAAGGCTGGAAAAAAAACGATTTTTTCAAATTTTGAAACTTTTATAACTTGGCCCAAGAGCATCCAATCCGCTAAATATTTTAACCTTAGATCCTGGGTGGTCGACCGTACAAACTGTCGAACTCCCTTAAGTTCTGGTCATAGAACTTAGATACCGCTTCTTCACAGTAATCCTGGTAGTCTCCTGGTACATAGTGGACTTTCGGCTATTGAATCTTTGAGAGATATTGTAGGATTTGTTAATCGTCGTTGTAAAGTATTTATTGATAGCGGCATATGAACGGATACAGATGTTTTGAAATGTTCAACATTGAGCGCCACATGTGTACTTCTTGGTCGTCCTATTTTATACGTTTTAGCATGTAGTGATCATCATGGTGTGGAAACCGTGCTCAATATATTGAACCAAGAATTGATGTATAATATGGCTAGTTGCAGTCTAACAAGAATTGAACAAATCACCGAACGAATACTCTATAAACATTGCTAATGACTCTTTTTCGTTTTTGTCATCTCGATTATGGACGATTTATGTTATTGTATTACGAAATAGCTAACATTATAATTTCTTCTATTTAGTTTCAAATATTACTTTTTAATAATGATCCATTGTTGATATTAGTAGTAGACGTGAGCCAGAAGCCGTAGCAGAATTTGAGCATCTAGGTGTGAATATGAGGCGTTGCTGTCAATGATCAAGTGAGGATCTACACAACCACACCCTTCGAATTATCATATATCATTGAAAATTCATTTGTTAAGTTTACAAATTTGATTATGTACCCAAAATAGTTCGTTCTACGAGACGGAACAATTTTTATGCAAATTTAAAATCTTCAATTGAGCACGATAGAACGACCATCGAATGGTATAAAATAAAAGAAAATGAACAGTGTGTGAGATCACCCATGAGACAAGACATCTTTGTGCCCACAGACATAGACAGTCATCATCATGATTCCTGAATCATTTCAAGTGGAACGATTGATTCATTTATGCTTCCTGCAATCTTCCTATTCTTCTTCTTCTCATTCTTTTCACTCTACTGATAACAATACTTCTTATATATTTCGTATCACATGCGTTGGTCTATACGATTCCGGATTGTTTTTATTTAAATAGATTAACAATTGAAATCATTCATGATCGGGTGCAAGAAGTTACTGTCTATCTGCTGAAAAGAGTGTAAATAAAATCACTGTTGCTACCGCTGAGAAAACTCTTGCTCATTTCAAATTTTCAACCATTTGAACTCAATCATTGTCCGACTCACTGGCAAATAAATCTCTCCGACGGCTAAACCCCAAACAGCGGAGATTATTAAGTTGGTTTGTGGCATTACCCGACCCACGCCCACCTACAATGAAAGTATCATTGCGTACAAGAGAGTGTGGGTGTGGGTGTGGGTGTGAGTGTGGATGGGTGTGGGTGTCGGTGTCGGTGTGGGTGGGGTGTGGGTGTGGGTGGGGTCTGGGTGTGGGTGTGGGTGTGGGGTGTGGGTGTGGG